CTCCAGACAGGGCTTGTGCCAGTGAAGCCCCTCTTCAAAGAGATCAGAGCCAAAACATGAAACTGGAGTCGGGCTTTCATTCATGGAGCATGTCGGCTTTCCAAGGAAGAGATCTGCCATTCTGGCAGCAGCCATTAGCCAAGTGGAGCGGCTCAAATCCAGCAGCCTCTCGGCTCTGTTGTAGTCCGCTGTTGTTGCTGCGTTGGTGTAATGATGGCTGCAAACTTCTGTGGTTGATAAACACATTTTACTTTTGATTTGTTTAGCTTGTCCACCTGTCTGACTTTAGGACAACTAAAATACAAACAACGTGATGAAAGTAGATCAGAACAGTAAAGTAGCAGCCAGACAAATAAACTAGGGGCTGAATCTCACTATACAGCTCAAATCCGAGCAGATTCAGCTGATAATTCTCTGCAGGTTTTCAGGAGTCACATTGGTCACTCACTAATCAGAAGGTAGGTGGTCGGTCTGATGAGCAGTTGTCACCTTGTATGGCGGCCGCTGCCATCAGTGTCTGTGTGAAGGGGACATTTAGTTACTAGAAAGCAAGCAACAAACTCCGGGTCTGAAAAACAAAGCCAGCGCTGAAGAGCCTCAAACCTACGTTCTCTCCAGCAGCCAGCAGGGGGCGACTCCACCGGCTGCTGAAACAAGTGTGATTGTATAGAAGTCTATGAGAAAATGTTTCTACTTGTCAGCTGATTTATTCCCTCAGTAAACACTTTCCTGATGAGTTTATGGTCTCAGTCGCTAGTTTCAAGTCTTCTTCAACACAGCATGATGTTCATTTAGTAAATTATGGTCCCGTTTAGAGGAACAGAGACCAGGAAGCAGGGGAGGCTTTAGGGGGCGGGGCTAGGTGCAGGACAGGGGCGACTTTTATCCACTGCAACCAGCGCCTTTGAAAAAGCTTATTTAACGAGCTGTGATCATCTCAGAGCTTCATGAAAGTTAATTGTAACATTTTGTGAGGTTGTGATGGTGCAGTGGATATGACCCAAGCCTTTGGTGTGAGAGACACGGGTTTGAATCCACTGTGAGACACCAATGTGTCCCTGAGCAAGACACTTAACCCCTCGTTGTTCCAGAGGCGTGCGACCTCTGACATATACAGCAGTTGAAAAAGCGTCAGCTAAATGAATAAATGTAATGTAAATTTAATTTTGGTCCTTAGAAATGTGACCGAAGGTGTCGGATGTTCATTTTCTCGTTAAGTACATTTTAGTTTTAATCCTGCTTTTCACTTGCCAAAATTGCCAGTTAACATCAGCGAGCTAGCTTGGAACGTCTGGTTCCTAAAAACGAAGAAACTCGAGGCTTCAACATGTCCACAAACCGACAGGTGAATTCCACTTCTTTTATACGGTCTATGCTAGAAAGGCCACTTTAAAGATGGATGAACGCATGTGTGGCTGGGCAGTGAGGATTTTATGATCTTGAGATCTTCATTAACATTTGCTGACGTTTAAAAGGTGGTTGGACAAATTTGTTGTTACTTTCGCTTGCAGAGTAATGTAGGTGGCTTCACAGACTGCACAGCGTTTTATGGCGGTACATTACGTTTCCTAAGAACAAACGACGACTTCTGCCTCACATCACTGGGTTGGCATAACTCTGACATGTCTGTTGTTCTTGAAAAGCTTTTCCTTTCACCACATTTCACTCTGTCTCAAACTCATGTTGGGTTTATTTACATCCTGCACCCCTCTTCTTCCTGAACCTCCACTCAAACTTGTCATTTATTGATGCAGTTTAGGGGGAAAATTGGGACCAGTTAAACAGAAAACACGGCAGAACCGTCACCCACAATGAGCCCGTGATCTCTAAATGATTCAATTTGCAGACTCACAATGATCAAGCACATCACTGTATTTAACACAGAATTCGCTCCAAAAAACAAAACAAAAAAGGTTTTCATTTTGTCCTCCACATTCTTCAGTCTGTCCTTGAACATTGTACGGAGGAAACATGAAACACTTTAGCAGGAGGATGCAGATTAATCCATCTACTCTTCTGAAGTGTCCTCGAGCAGGACGCCGTCTCACCGCCAGCTTCACCGTGCTGACGCTGACCTCTGGCCTCCTTGTGGAGGGGGCGCAAACACAAATGCAGTTTCCCCCGCGACGATCAATAAAGCATCACATTACCACCCTCTGAACGGGAAGTGCTATAATGTGTCATAATTTGTGTCATCAATCATCTCGTCAGTGCAGGAGTGTGTTGTTGTGGTTTGTTTTGTTCTCTGCTGCGGCTCAGGGGGGAAAGCGGGTCGGCAGTTCGATCCCCGGCTCCTCCTGTCCACATGTCCAGGTGTCCTTGGACAAGACAAGGAATGACAAAGCTTCTCCCGACACCTGCGTGGCAGCAGTGGGCGAATAGGAGGCAAGAAATGTAAAGCGCTTTTGGTAAAAATGCAATTGAATGCACCCATTTACTGTCAGGGGGCTGTTTTCAGGGTTATTGTCTGTTTCAGTTATTTCTCCTTTATTTTCCTTCTTCCAAGGTTTTTTGTTGTTTTTTCCTGAATCAGTTTTTTTATTTTCTGTTTCTCTTTCTGGTTTTCAGTTGTCTGTAATAACATGCCCCTCCAGTGAGTAGGGGCTGGCTGCAGTAAAATAATGAAAAATGCCTATATGGGAAACATGATTACAAAATAAACTGACCCACACACACACACACACACACTCACAGAGTCAAGGACAATGAAGGACGTACTCTGCTCTGTGAGCCACAGCCACCTAAATGCAGCATAAATTATCATTAGCACAGTCTGACAACAGCTGAGTTTGAAAAAAGGCTCCATGTTTCATATTTGTTTCCATGACCTGTTTTCCACACAAAAGGCTTTGGCCTCGATTCTCAAGAGTCTGTAACGTGTTTGTTCTTGTTTTTTTGTCTGCATTTACATCTCCCGTCGCTCTGAAGAGCAGGGTGACGCAGCCATTTTGTTAGAGCACTTTAGAAATACATTTCATTTGACTTGAAGAGCAACCGGCGCTAAATAGACGAACACCTGCACAGAACAAAGCAGACTTTTAAACTCCTCGGAGGGTCTGGGTAGCTCAGGACAGGGTTTACGAAGGCCTAGCAAACTACAACCCAATGACTAACCACAGGCATTCTGCCTCTATAGGACTTCTGTAAAGCTCCAAGATGGCACCTAAAACCACCATTAACTGGAAAGGGTTGAAAAACAGAGCCATAGGAATCCAATTTCCCCCAACACCACACAAAGTGAAGAAAACCTCTGAGCAGAAAACCCATTAAATTAGTCTGAAAGGCTCGGTGTGGATCAGTCCTGTGAATGCAAGTCGGGGAGAGGGGAGGTGGGGGGGGGGGGGGGGGCAGCCAGAGACAAATCCTGGCAGAGAAGATGCATCTCTGGGGGGGGGGGGAGGAAAGGCCCACATCTGTCCTGCTGTCGCAGGTGATTACTCTGGGCGACGGGAGAAGTGCCGCCTCATCCTTCTGGAGTGAAGCCACAGTCACGTGAAAGAAAAGATAAAAATAAGTAACGGGTGGGTGTGACCCCAGCGGCTGGTGTTGCATCAGACACGAGTAAACACTCTCCATCCATCTCGTCTGTATTCAGTCGAGCATCTGCTGTTTGCTCTGAGGATTATTTGGTGGTGAGAGGGACCGAGCAGACCCAGACATAATTAAATATGGATTTATGTACTTTAGGTGTTGTTGATTGGCGGTGTACTGGTGTGGTCGGCATTACAGGTAATAATGTTAACAAGACGAGGGTTCGTAGTAATTATCTATAAACTCAGAAGTATTATGGATGATGTGCAGCAGAATGTTTGCGCAGTGGCTGAAATCATTCATTAATTCACCATCCAGACTGTATTTTTGGAAAAAGAACCTCTTTAAAGACGACATAATGTGAAACCACAGCAGCTGCTGCCTTTAAGGTCATGTTCTCTCAACGTACATCAGAGCTGTTTAATGTGCTCACAGCGTGGTGCAGACGGACGTCAGATCTAACGTTAAAAAAAAAAAAAACGGTTTTGTTGTTAAAGGGGAATTCCACAGATTTTACAGTTTCCAGGTGTTGGGAAGTACGACGAGATATTTATGTGAAAACAGTTGTACGAAACGAGGGAGCAGTGGGACGTCTAATACAGACGGGTTGAGTTTGATCATGAATTTGACAAAGTTATACAAGCACAAAGATAAATTAAAAAAGATAGACGCATGTATTGGACTGCATCAGATTGCACGGGTGTACCTAATAAAGTGGCCACTGAGTGTGTATCAGACTTGTGTCTACACTGCTAGCTTTCCCCTTTAAGAATAGATATGATCCAGTTTTAAAACTTTTTATCTTTTATTTCAGTTTTTTTTAATCTGAACTTCATGTCAACATTACCTGATTGATTGATAATGCAGTTATTAGCTAAAGTCAAAAAAAACTTCCAGCAGACGGTCGTAATTTCCTGCAGCGGATGTATATTATGTTCAGAGGTGCAACGAACGATTAATTTAATCAATCATTTTGTATAGAAAATGTCAAAAACAGCTTGTTTTGTTCAACCAACAGCCCAAAACCCAAAGGGCATCAAACAGACGGCTCAAACTTGTTTTTAATGCATTTACGTTTGTTGAATGGGAAACAATCGATTCTCGAAACCGCTTTCGGTCATCAGCTAATTACTCAATGGACCGACCTATCAGCACTAATTATATTGCATGTTATATTCTAGTGCGCTCAATAAGAGGCCGACGGTGCTTTGAACAATACGTAAACACTGACACCATCAGCACACATCCACACCGTCACCCGTCAAAGTGTTGTGATTTTCTTGCAGCGTCCCCACTTTCCCCAAATCCTGCTTCAACCTCTTTGTCCAACAAGGACTTCTGGAACCTCTAAGAGTGAGAAAGATGACGGCTGTGTCTGTTGGTCAGAACTGAACTGTACCACTAAGTGGTTTATCCCAAAATAAACCAAAAATACAATCCCCTCATCAGAAAACTTGCCTTCTACCGACCTTTTTCCCAGGGTGCTGAGCGGCGTGCTGAGGCTGATTGAAGATCGAGCAGGTTGGCGGTTACGTCCGGTCAGTTTGGCGGCAATCGGCTCCTTCTTCGGGGACTCGGCCTTGCGAGCTGGGCTGGCGCCGGACTTGATGTTGAGGTCCTTCAGGATGTCGTAGTTGATCTTTGAGGAGATCTTCTTCTGCTCCAGCATCTTCCCGATGGCCTCGTCTGCGGTGCTGGCGTGGATCAGGGGAAGCTTCTTCCTGGGTCCTCTAGGCTGTCGGGATTTAAAAACAAAGCACACGTCAGCTGTTGTAACAAAAAGAACCCGGGTAACATCAGTAACTCTAGCGGCCGTTAGCTCAGTTAGCGGTCCACTTAGCTAACGGGGGGCATGAACTTTTTTAGGCTTCTGAACAAGACGGATAACATTTGCTAATGACTTTGCTAATGAATTTGTTTTGCAGGTATTGGACACATGAAATATAATTTTGACCTGATGATGGTGCTAGATTAAAAGTTAGAGGAGTATAAGATATTTCTGTCTGGACCGACCAGCAGGCTGACACCGTCATGTCGCTGGCGTGGGGTACAAATACTACAATTACCAGTTTGTTCATTGACTCCCATCAGCTGTTCGCTCGGGAACAACTTCTCTTCCATAATGAAGCTTTTTGTTGCAAGATTATTTCTCTGATTAACAACCAACCCAACACCAAACCCTCAGTGCAACGCCTCATTTAAACCGGTCACGATTAAGACCTTGTAGTCAATCTAACTTTATTAAAATTACTCCAATTCTGCTCAGCAGACGAGGGTTAAATGTTATCTGGAAATATTTTGTCTTCCTATTAGACCAGTTAGGTCCCAGATGGGAACAACGTGCCCTCTAAAAAAAATGGATGGCAGAAATGGATCTCAATTAAGCCCCCAGATTGGGGTTATCAGTCAGTTTCAGTTATTCCACACCCACCCTGACCTTCCTCCTAACGCTACAGATCAGCCCAGTTTCTTTTTACTGAAAAACTTTTAAAACACGTTTCATGCCAAAGTCGACATGATCTTAAAATCTCTGAAGTTTCTTCACAGATTGATTTCAGGCAATTAAAGTTAAATTCCTCTCCCTCAGATGACAGTAAACTGACCCCCAACAACAGCAGCTCATCAACTCAGGATGTTCAGGGTTAGAAACTACAAAAGGATGCTCACTTTGTCATGCAGAGAAATAACGAGAACGTCCTCTGTTTTATTTATCTTTTCACTCATTTGTCAGTGAAATGGACTCATTTGGATCAGTGCTGTCAGGAGGACGCACGTCTCATTAAATCTCCGTTCCATTGCAGTTAATCCAGCTAGTTAAAACCAGTGAACAGATGTTGGGTCTAACAAAGGGGTCTGTTCTGTGCCAAGACCAGTAATGGGATATGAGAGGGAAGCAGTTTCAGAGGACCTACCGCCTGCCTGTCTGTGTTTAGTCTGTCTGATCGTCTGTCTCTCAGTGTCACTCAGTGACGCGCAATCTGTCCATTTCTGTGTTTAACTGAAAATATAAGTGTCTGTCTGACCAACTGTCCTCCTGACAGCCAATTAACCAATCAGAATACTGACGGAAAACTATATGACAACATGGTGAAAAAAGCATCAAACTAATCTCTGGTTCCAGCTTCACAAGTTGGAGCATTTGTTTCTCTAGTTTACATCACTGTATTTGCATGCAATATGAAGACATCACCTTGGTATGGGCATGTTAAAAAAAAAAGGAATAAAAAAGCCTAGTAGGGCTGGACGATATGGCCAAAAATGTTATTGTGATAATTATCAAAGTGTATGAAACTTTTTATCGTAAGTATCAAATCGTTATTTCTTTTGAGTTTCGAGGCTGATTTCTGCATCCTAAGTGGAAGTTGAAGAAACCTGATGGTTAGTTGTGCTTTAAACTCTTCTGAATGGTCAACACTTGATGCCAAACAGTGGATCACTTCACAAATCTGAGGCAGAACATTCAAAACAATTATGATAAAATCTTTGTCAACAAAAATATATACAAGTGAAATTAAGAAAAAGCTTTTTTTTCCTAATTCGTGTATTATTTAAGTGAATAAGATCGAACATTTATTTAATATTTATTGAATATTTATTAAAAAATATATCGCGATAATTATTGTTATTGTTTTATCGTCATGCCCTAAAACACAGTAATCTTTAGTTAAGGTCTAGTAGCTTTCTTTCTGAATGGATTACAGCCTGAATGACCAACAGCGAAGAGCAGACTGGCATAATCTGGCAAAAGATGCGATGGTAGGACACGGGGCAGCTCACGCAGTAAAGTCAACTGTTATCTTAAGCTGAATATGAAAACATCTCATTACGGGCCAACTTGTAGGGGCTTTGAGGTGTTTGCCACTGTTGCCAAGTGTTTGCTCATGGTGGGAATTGTTGGGTCTGTAAATAATAGTGCAGTAAGAGTCTAGACCTGCTCTATATCAGAAGTGCAATGAGATAACTTCTGTTATGAACTGACCCTTTATAAATACAACCGGAGTGAAGTGTTGACCAGTGATCCCAACCTGGGTGTCGGGACACCGTCAAGAGAGAGACCAGATAAAGACAACAGAGCAGAGAAGAAGACAAACAAAGTTGTGCTCCACAAATCTGTTTATATTTGAGTCAAATACAATATTTTGACGCAAAGTCTGCCAGTAAATATGTTTGTTGTCCAATCAAACTGTCTCCTAACTGGGTGACGTTATTATCCGTCTGACTGATCAACCGTCTAAATGACTGCAAGACTTTTCCACTGTGAGGCCATCTCTGAGCGTCTGACCACCAAACTGCCTCCGAACAACTTCCTGTCCGTGTCGAGCTGAGACAACCCGCCCACCCTGATCTCAAATGTTTTGAAGGCTGCATGCTGTTACCTTCCTTTCTTTGTAGATCCCGAGCTCCTTCTCCTTCGCTATCTTTGCTTCTTTTTCTGAAAGCACAAACAAGAAACAGTCTGAACATACAAACTCAGAGATAACAACCTCAGTTTGACACAGTGGGAAACCCCCCCGCAGGCCACAAGCTAAACTCGGTAGGTTCAGCTGGAGGTTTAACTCTGAGTGGAAGGTACATTTACCTGCAGACAAGTAAAAGTTAAATTCTGCCTTTAAAACAACCAGCACAGAAATCACGTTCCATCCTGAAAGTACCTTTCTGCTCTTTGAGGTAGTCTGAGTTTTCTGCCATCCACAGCGCCGTCTTGACTTTGATTTCTTTGTCGCTCAGCAGATACTGCAGAGGGGGAGAACAACGATTGTACATTTTGTGCATCAATAGTCTCCTGTCTTGCTAAATGTTTTATCTCTTAATCTTTCCACTGCATATACCTGCACCACAATGCAATCAAATACAACAGTCCTGCAACAAATACGACCTTTGAGTAGTCTATGATTGAGCTGTATCAGGTTAGCTTTATGCATTTAATATGTTAAATATTCTGTTTTGAACCAATTATTAATTAAAGCACCTTCAGGAAAGGGCATTCAGTTCAGCAGTAAAAAGGTACTTTTTTCTACTGTAGCGTCTCATTAATCAGCAGGTACATACCAGCTCTATCTCACGGTCATCTATCCCACTCAGGTCCAGCTCCCCACCGTCAGCAGCACCATCTGTCACAGAGACAAAAATCGGAGTGGACACACAGAAAATTTGCTGTAACGCACACTTTCACGGCAGCGTCCACATCCCAGAGGGGTAAAAACGGGAAACAACAGCTGGCCAGGAATAAACACTGTAGCACACACACCTCCAACATCCTGCTGCATCTCTCCCTTGTGGAAGTGCAGCGGAGCATCTTCCATCGGGGGTTAATCAGCAAAATAAAATGCACTGTGACTTCTGATAAGACGTTAATAGGCTTAACTCGCGTTTTAAGCGGATCTACCTTAACACACTCTTTTCAATTACGATACGCTTTCTAGATTGCAGCACGCTTTATTTTGCAACAGACGCTGAAACGGCAATTTGCATTTTTTATGCTGCAACGTCCGAGAAGCGTTCTCCCGCTTTCACCAGTGTTTCCTTCGCGATGGAGCTGATTGCTAGCGTGAAACAACAGACATGCTAATGTGTTGATAAGAGAGGTATTTGAAATCCCTTGGTGAAGAGAAAAGTTCAAAGACTCTCTGATTGACTTTGATAAAAGGAAACAAAAAAGGAGGGAGTGGGTGCAGGCCCTGACAGTAGAAGGAAACCATCAATAGAAATTCAACAGCTTTCACTCCAAAGATCCTCCGCCTTGATTAGCTGCTTTGGAACAAAGTGCAACTCTTCTCTGGCTGCCTGCAGACATCAGACAGTCAATCAAAGGAGGAAAGTTGGAAAGAAACGTTTTAGAGGTAGCAAGCGACGGGTTTATGGGAGTCGTTTAACTTCTGTCAGCTCTCTGCCTTTGACACGTTCACAGGGGCCCTCCTTCCTCAAGTTCAAACTCCCAACAGGGCGGCAGCTTCAAAGAGGAGCCACCTGAGTCCACAGGCAGCTTTCCCAGGTGCACAGGCAGGGAGCGAAGAAATGAGGAAGAAGAGGACACCCACCATCAGACAGGAGAGGGTGTGTTCTCACTCAGCTGAAGAGGTAAGGGGGTGGGGGGGGGGAATAATCTAGGAAGCCATTTGAGTTCAGTTCGCAGATTGCAGCTTGCTTAAAAAAGAAGCCGCTCCAGAGGGAAGAGACAGGTCAGTCGCTATCTGTCGGGCCCAGCCCTCTAAGAGCTTCCTCTCTGTGAAGTGTGAGGGGGAGATAAGATGGAGACAAGCCCCGGGGAGAGATTGGCAGCTCCGGGAGGCAGAGAGGCAGCGAGACTAAGAGCTGATAACACCAGTCCAACCCCAGAGAGGGAGGAGGGAGGGAGCAATTACTGCGTTATTATTCAGCGCTGCTTTGATACATCTACACTCGCTAATTTGATCAAACCAATAAAATTGTTCTTGGTGAGCGTGCAGAAGAATCTGCAGACCTGAGGATCAGAAGCTTTTATTGGCTGAGTCTGTCAGGAAGTAGGAATATGAGGCAGGAAGTCAGTTATTTTATTTCACTTTTTGTCATTTTTTTGTCCTAATGACAGCTGTGACAAAGATCCTGGTCTGGACTTGAACCCAAGTCAAGTTATTGTTAAAATTAGGTAATGTGCACTCCAAGAGTAAGAAAACAAGTTTAAGACTAGCGAAACACCTTAACAGCTCTCCTCCTCTCCATCATTTCATTTCAGAACTGCATCACAGCAAACATCTAGTACAGAGTTTAAAAGACAACAAGTCAAATATTTTCTCAAAATCACTACACGTTAACCAGCACTCGTTCCCAAGCTGCTGAGCTGATAACATCAAACCCACGTTAACAACAACAACAGCTGCACTGTGTATATTCCCACACAGCCCGATTGTGACTGTGACTGTATACGATCTGAATCACCGGGTCAGCGTCTTTAGATTTATACACTGGACATCAGTTTCATGTGGACTGAGAGCCAAAACAGAGTTGCTGCAGTACTCGATGCTTCAGACACATTACGGTCGGTACTCAGAATATAAGAGGAGTGACGGCAAGCCCCGAGGACACGGTTATCCTGGACCACCGATCGATCCGAATGTCTCAAAGATGATGCTCAGTTAAACTAACAAGCTTTTTGATTGATTAGAAAGAAAGACGTCAACCTTGACAGAATGGACAGAGCAGCTATCCTTTTGTCACAAACTGCAGGAAGATAATGATTTCTGTTTGTTAAGAGGTGAGGAGCAGTCCTGAATGGCTAGTCCTGGCTGAGGAACCAATTCTAATCCTCGATGAAAACCTGACAAAAGGTGAAGAAACGAGGAAGAAAACAGTAAATCTGTGACAGGTGAGGGGCTGCAGCCGTCCGTCACTCTGAATACAAAGAACCGGATAACATCATCTCATTAATTTAAGAAAGTGGCCAAGTCTTGCAGCGCTTTCACAAAACTTCAAAATCCAAGAGGGAAACAGAAATTCCCTCCCTGATCGCCTCGTCCACAGCGAGAAACTTGTTTCTGAGCTTCCTGTCCAGCCTGGCAGGAGAACCAGCTCTGCCTACATATCAATGCAGGGAGAACAAAAAGATAGGATTCCCCAAACATCTTTTTTTCTGGGCCAAGGAGCTTCTGCTTTCCAACAGCAAATCCTCCAGGAACACACCTCCGACCGAAGGAGAGAGTCAGTTATTCTATTTCAAACGGAGACGAAGTACTGGAGGGAAATGGGAGAAAGGCAGCGGTGGGAGAGACGACGGCTAAACGATAATATCAGCCATGAATCTTAACAGTTTTGGTACCAAACTCCTTTTACTGAACTCAATGTTCAGCCAGATTCCTCATGTGGGGAATAATGCTGCAGGTAGTTCTGTTGTTTTTTTGTCCAGCTACCTCCCTCTCCTAATACAGGCTTCTAGGCTTCACAGGTGTTTTAGGGACACAGTTAAAACATGAATGCATCACGTGGATTTATTTTGACCTGTCGTTAACGTTCCTCATGGAATGAACGCTGATTAGCGAGTGCTAACAGACGTAACCTGCCGTAACCTGAGACGCAGCTACCTGAAAGCTCTGAACACTGTTGCTAATAGGAAAGAGAGAGAGAGGATAAGGGATTACAGCTAGCAGATCTGGGGATTTTGCCACTTGGGGTGGTGTCCGACATCTCGGAGCGATTTCATAATAAGCATGCAGAGATACCACACTGACCCAGAACTGTCATTCACCTGTTTGTGTCTCACGATGTTTCTCCGATGTTGTGTGTAGTTTTTCAACCATTAATTGATTAACCACTTAGTGGATCGGCGATCGATTTTGTCAGTCAACGCCGCCTGGCTCTGCCATCTCAGTCCCGGCTGTTCTCATCTGTGACACCACGATGGTGGAACGAGCTACCAGACGCCATCAGAGCAGGGGCGTCCCTCTCTAACGTCAAGAAGCTCCTCTCTTCCAAGAACACTTTGTCTTATAACACCTCTAACATGCACTTCTTCTATCCCCTTAAAATGATCTTGTATTGATTTCACTTTTTTGTAAACTCTAACTTCTTTCCCTCAGGATTTATCCCCTTGATGCGAAATGTGCCATCAGCTCTTACTAGTATTTATTGCTGCTCTTACTGGTATGTATTATCAGTTGTAGATCTCGTGCTGTATTTGATGCTTTGTTGATGCTTCTATGTTTCTCAAATGTAATTCACTTTGGATAAAAGTGTCTGCCAAATGAGTAAACCTTCTCCAACGTGAGGGTTTGCTGCTTTTCTCAGTCATCTATGATGTTAAAATCTAAATGTTTAAGGTTTGGGGACTGTTTGTGGAATAAAATATGGGATTTGAACACAAAATAAATCGATAACCCTACCAAGAAAATCAATGTCAGATTAATTCCATAATTAAAAAGAATAATAAAAAAAACTTCAGAGCGTGTTGAGTAAAATGACAAAAGCTTCAACCTCTGCAGTGCGCTCAGGATAAATAGCTCAATGTCCCAGTTTAGTTCATCCACAGTACACCACTGCCAGGCTTCAGTGACTGCAGGCCACATTTAGTATCTCACAAAAGTGAATACACCTCTCACATTGTTGTAAATATTTGATTGTCTCTTTTCATGTGACAACACTGAAAGAATTACATTTTCACTTAAGGGTGTCGTCACTTTGTTGCCAGCGGTTCAGACATTAACGGCTGTGTGATGTGTTATTTTGAGGGGACAGCAGATTTACACTGTTATACAAGCTGCACACTCACTACGTTACACTGGAGCAAAGTGTCATTTCTTCAGTGCTGTCACATGAAAAGATATAATCAGATATTTACACAAATGTGAGGTGTGTACTCACTTTTGTGACTGTATACCTGTATTTGTACTTTTCCAAGCAGTGTCTTCACTCGTCATAAGCTCCGTCATCTGGCATCACAGAGAGTATGCTCATATTTGCTAACAGCGGTGTGTTCGGCAGCAGTCTGAGGAGATGCCAAATTCAATTTTATTTTGGCGATCACTGCCGGCCTGAAGATAAATCGAGTAAGAATCAGGGGAAGACGGCGAAGCAGCAGTCTGATCCATCTGTGAGGAATGCATTGCTGTTGTGCCCGCAAGCCCTTAACTCCTGGTTCTCAGACAGGTAACCTGACCCCAGATTTACCCCGCTACCCCTCCCCTGCTGCTTCAGAAATACCCCCAAAATACCCTCCCCTACTCCCCCGTCGCCCACACATCGCCGTGTCCTGGGCGGCGGCAGAGCTGTCTGATGTGGTCAGGAGAATAAGATGCTTCACTGCAGACGCTCTCTGGTACCACAGAAGAAAACAAAGAGCACAAAGAAAGAGAAAATGTGCCCTGCAGGAACGAACACTAACAGGTGACAGAGACGGCCTTTTGAAGGCGGCGAGGGAGCGAGGGAATAAGAGATTTAAAAGTGCGAGAGGGGGAGGGAGGAGTGGGAGCTGGTGGGTGACTGAGCCAAACATACAAAGTAAGAGATATTAAAGGATGAGGCTGGAGTTGTTTATTTCTTAGTGTCCACAAATCCCAGGGAAAGACTAAAAGATGCTAAACTTTAAAACACATCTTACAAATCTAATATTTTTCTTTTAAAAAGTCTAATATCTTGAAACAGC